ATTCACCTTGAAAATGTGGTTTATTTGAGTAGGCTAGAGACCATCGTTTTGAGAAACAGAAAATTTTCTAATGCATCATTAGTTTGTATGTACGTATTTATGTATGCATGTATGTATGTACACCACAAAATGAGCAAAACCTTAGACTCTTGGGCTTCGCGTAGAGAATCAAATAATGTCCTAACGGGATGAGTCCTTAGTCCACTATTGACAGCAAATCAAACCACTTGACCATACCCACCTATATTTATCTGTGCTTACCACATAGGTGGATCATTTGCCGAAACATTCGGCCAGGGATATGGTCTTCATACCACGCTTCGATGATTCGTGTGTGTACTTTCACGCCAACTGACCCGAACTATTTTATACATTTACAACACATCAGAAAGGGCGAAAATTTTCTCAGTATATTTGATTCGCATATCCAGTGCGATCGATTGCGATCTGAAGTCGGGTGTTGAAAAAGTTTATCTAGTGAGAATCAACCTATACATGAATGGCTGACCTGGCATTGACAGACCACCGAAATAGAAGTTACGCTGTTTATGGAAGTTCTCACTGGTGGCAGTAGTTTGTTCACTTAATGATAGATTCTGTGAGTACTTAGTAAAGGAAACACTGAGATCAAAACTATACCTTCATTTATTTTATTTTGGGAATCGCATAATCGGGGAATGATTGACCTGGGATAATCCGAAAGGTTCGTAATGATGCAACACCGCCCACGCGTTTACCGCGAGCTTATTTGCCTTCCAGTCTGTAGATCAAAAACTACTGATCCGCAGGAAATCCTCGAGAGAAACATCAGTAATCGGGCTTACCCCAGAATTATTTTTAGCCTCTCGTGCGTTGCTCTAAACAAGAATCCACGTTTCACTGAGATGGAAACCGTCATCCGAAGGCATTTTTTCACTGAAAACGCACCCTGCACTTTTCGTTCTTTCGCAATTTGAGGCGTCATGCAATGTTTGCTTATACCTAGTCATGTGATTGTTCGTGTCGAGGGACAGCAGTTTTGCGTTCTTTAAACTAACTTATACTTTTTGAAGATTATAACCTCCTCCTGCACTATTTCGAATAGTTTACATCCTGTCGCGTTTACCTATTTTTCTGTCAGCCAATTCGTTTCCATGACCATCTGTCACCCTAACTTACACATCGTGTTGAAAAGTAAACCATGCCAAAATGAGGTTTGCAACTATATTACTTATTAGTAGTGTAAGTCTGGATTAGACTGCTCCGACGATGTATCAGACATCCCAGTCAACGTCCATGGGCGCCGCAAAGAATATACTGTCGACAATTTCCAGAATCATTCTCGGGATAAATTGCCAGCGGTCCGTCCACGAAACATCCCAACATGAACAGCAGTACTATGAGCTTTTAACAGCAGCTGGTAGATATTTCTACAACTGAGGTAATTCGGCTCACTGAATCTCTGAAGCTCATTGGGTACCCAACGAAGTTTATACAAAGGCACAGAGTAAATGCTGAACCCAAGACCTCGGGGATTACAGTGCCAAAATGCGACGTTTTCATTCTATCGTCGTTTAAGCGTGATGACGTAGGCCAACTTGTACAAAGACGGCTAGTGACGTCGGTAGCCGGACATATTTTGCTGCAAATCCCGCCGTCAGCTTCACCACTGCCTAGATTTCGAAGCCCTTGGTGAAATCACCACTCCCTCTATCCGCCAAGTTACACGTAATCTATTAATTTCAATGTGGGTGCGGAACCACCCACTTGGGAAGAACAGAGAGGCAGAGTGGCAGAATACATACCAGCATGGTTCGAACGCGAACGGGTTAGATTGAAGGCTACACAAACAACCAGTCCATCGAGCCAACCGCATATAACACCTGCATCGTCAATTGCTCGTTATCGGCTGATAAAATTTGCAAAGGCCATAGCAACTATGCTCCGAAAGCCACTGTTGTGTCAGCAAAAGGAGGTCTATATCAGTCTGGCATTGCCCTGGTAGCCACTTAATTGGAACAGTGAATTGATACCATGTTAAAATACTAACGGCTGTGGTATATAAACTGTTTTGCATTCTGCAGTGAGCATCAGCTGAGATGCAGCGAAATGATTCCGGAATTAAATAATTCTTGCTTGCAGTGTTGTATTCGTTATTCAAGTTTATTTTAGGAAATAATTGATTTCATACATTTATGTATGATGACCAATAAACTGACGTGGGCATACCTCATGCTTTTTTGGAAGGTATCATCAGTGTGGTCCTTTTCTATCTTAAAAGATCAAAATTTCGAAATACTTATACTTTCAGCATTTAAAATATGATGTTTGACGAACGTTTACTGGACTAGAAAGCAAACACAGCATAGCCAATAGAAAATGAGCTCGATTTTGGCTATTTCATGATTAAACCGGAAAAATTCAATTCAAATCAAGTCAAGTAAAGGTTTATGCATCCAATAGGATGAATTTTCAACATTTTTGATAAGTTACAGCGAGGAGAACGTTAAGCATTGGAAAAAAAGAAGAAATATACATTTACTAANAAACGGATTAGATAAAATCCGACTGTGACAGATGATTGTTCAGGTCGGTAATAATGTTTGCTGGTCGCTATCATTTACATCAGTTGAAGTAATCAGAATGTTTTGCTTGAATGCTTAATTCGGAACTATTTGCTGCGACTGACCTGACGACGTGTTGCTAACAGACGCATCGCATGGTGATTGAAGCAAGACTTTTGAGCGCACAAATTGTATTTCGCCGTGATTGCGTAATATTTGTTGTGCTCACATGGAGCTTAACCCAATCCACTACAGAATCAGCCACGTAAATATCTCTCCGTTCTACCACTGTGGATGCCTATACAGTCACAGTCTACTTACTAGATAACGTGTGACTTGATGAATCATCCCATAATACGTGACTGAAGAGGCACCAAGTTAAGTGCGAACAGCGGTAAAATCATATTGATCACTCAACATTCGGCTCACACCATCACCCTCGTGCGGTAGTTTGATTCTGATTATGGGTTTTTCTTTTAGAGTAACCAGGGTTTTTTTCGGTACATTTGCCAAATGCCTTCGGATAAACTAGGAACTATAATCATTGACTTTGTGTACGTTCATGGGGTTGCAGGTCAGATTGAAGGTTCTTAAAAGCACGCATTGTTTGCCTTGACGGGTTAGTGCTCCGCATTGGATGCGGACGAAATCGTTAAAATGGAGGCATTTCCCAGT